TTTTTATTTTTGTTGTCTTTGCTATTTTTTGCTACAATTTATGCAATGTAGAGCAACATTAATTACAATACAATGTCATATGCTAAATATAGGCAAAGGAACATAAATTATTGATTACAAAAGCATTGAAATTCTTGCATTAAAAAAAATAAAAAATAAAAAATAATAAAAAAAAACATTCAAAATCTATTGCATATTTTTTCTTCGTATTAGTTGGCGCGTGATAGAAGATGCAGAGTTTATGTTTAAAAAGAGGTGAGTGAATAGTGGAAAAGTGTAAATAATGCAATTAAAATAACGGATGAAGTAATTAACAAATTACATAAATATATATAATTATAAAAACAAATAATTTATTCAACAAAAGTATTATCATTTTGCCCTGGGCCACCAAAATATTAGAAACGGCTATGCGTTGCAGCGGGGAGAACCAACACCAACTTCAAAAGCAAGTATACCCTACTATGAAAATTTTAAGAAATAGCAAAAAATTCAGTAATTCAATTGAACACATAAATACAATCAAATAGCAATTAAATCTGAAACAAATCAAAGTATCAAACAATAACCAAATAACCAACACTACCCAATACTGAGTACCAAATAAAATTCAATTCAACACAACAATGAACAACTGGTAGGCGTGTCGCGTACCTATCAAAAATAATCTAACAGACCAATACTAATGTAGACTGGCAAGTAAGGGTCGGATCCCAAGAGACTAAGGTTCAAAAATAATTAAATAGACTCGAATTTCTACTAAGAAAAAATCAATTATAATCAATTATCTACGGAACTAAGTATGAGAAGAATTCAAAAATAAACTAAATAAGATGATTAAATCAAGTACTTAAAACATCCAAGATCTAGTTTCACCACAATTATTATCGATGCAATTGTAATTCTACCTTTAACATACGATTTCAATCGAACGGGGAAAAGTAAACCCTAATAATTACCAAGGATCTCTCTCGAGTATCAATGGCTTCCCTAACATACAATCAATCCTATTCTCATGGTATCATGCATATTAGAGACATTAAACACGTTACTCTCACTTCCCAATTATCAAACATAAATATTCTCGTGTTATGAATCAAACCCTAAATTAATTTACTCAAATCCGTTTATACCCAACTCTCGTTGTGACAAAAACAATGGAATAATCGCAATACTATAGTTACGTCTAACCTAGAATTGGCATAATCACAATCAATTTAGCAATTCAATTGTTAAAGTTATTAAAGAATTTAAAGATTTAATTCATGCATCAATAATAATAGGGCTACACTAGATCTTGAATTAAAGAATCTACTCACACATGATTAAAGAAACAAAAACAATAATAAATAATGAAAACATAATTGAATAACAAAGGATGAAAAATAAATACCACATCTTGAATAAAATTAAAAGTAAAAAGCTTGAATCTTGAATTACAAAAACTTGGAAAATAATAATGGAGAACTAGTTCTTAAGGAGAGAATAATAAAAATAAAATAAAACAAGGCTTAATGAATGAATGAATTAAAACAAAGCCTAAAAGAGTATATAAATAAACCTAAAAAGATAAGATTTAACTCCAAGCTTTGGCGCACTAGGTTTCCAGGAGGCACGGACGTGCCTCACTGCGTAGCAAATTGCTGTTGAGTCTGTCTTCCAGGCACGGACGTGCCTGGTTCTGGGCACGGACGTGCCTGCTCTGCTGCGCTTATCACTCATCTTAAATCAGTCATAACTTCATATCCGGAGCTCCGTTTGAGATGTGTAATATATCGTTGGAAAGGTCTTCAAGTCTACTTTCCAATGCAATTTGAATCACTCCATTATCATTTGTATATCAAAATTTATGAGCATAATAGTGAACATGTGTCATATTTGTCAAGTATTTCATCAACGTTTTGCTTCATTTTCACTCAATTAGCTTTGTTAATCCTGAAATACATCAAAAACAACGAAACTACCCATAAAAGCATCGAATCATCGAAACTAAACCAAATTACACCAAAATGGACTAAAACACTCGACTAAGCTAATAAAACCAACTAAAAACAAGCTAAATAATATACACAAAACACGACTTATCAACAACCAAATAGCATCAACAAAAGTTCAATTCATTTATTCAAATGACTGATGTAATAAATAATTAAAACAAATACATTACTTAATAATTTAAAGTTTAATACCTTGCTCTGCTTCATTGCTTCAATTGACGGTCACAGGGTCTGGGTCACTCCGGTCAGTTGTTGCTCGCCTGGTCGGTACTGTAGATCAATGGGCGGCAGACGGCGGTATGCAGCGGCGGGATGTTGCAGAATGCAAATAGAGGACTACGAGAGGAAAATACTGAAGGCGCACAAGAAGAAATAAGAATTGCGAGAAAACTGTTCACAGTTGGGCACAATTTTACTCCTACCATCCTTTATGAAACAATAAATAAATAAATTCTCCTGCCAAAATTGACTCGTACTTGATCACCCGAACATAATTACTTGGCTTTTAAGAGTGTGGTTAGTCAAAACAATGCATGATCTGTGCACCGGGTGCACCATGCACATGGTGCACCTGGTTAAATAAAAAAAAAGGCTGAAAGAACATTTAGCTGTTTGAAAAAGAACATGCAGGTTTTTGAAAAAGAACATGTTTGTGTTTAATAAAGAACATGCATTATTAAAGAACATAAAGACATTACAAAAAGTATGTGATAAAAACTTTATTAAAATTTTATGAAAAATTACACATTAACGGAAAAAATCTTTACCAAAGATATCATATCCCCAAAAATTGTTTTTTCTCTCTCCAAAAATTAACTTTCCATAATAATTTTATTTTTCTCTCTCTAAAATATTTTCAACTAAGAAAAAACCAAGATTTCACTTTCAAATTAAATTTTAAATTTCAAAATTCAAAATAACATATGTTAAAAGAGCATAAAATATAATGTAAAGAACATATAATTCATACCCGAAGAACACACTGATCAAACTCAAAGAACATACGATAATAAAAAATAATGATATATGATAATTCAAAAAAGAATTTGTGCGTCACTCGTTACCTCAAAGAAAATACGAGCCAAATTCAAAGAACATACTTTGTATTATTGCAACCCAAAAATGTTTTAAAAATGGAAAATGTCCATTAAGGATAATAATTTAAAACTGAAAGCAATTTAAAGGGAATAATTCCCTATAGTTTCGCCCAGATTTTTTTTTATTTTTTTTTATTTTCCACTATTTTTTTTATTTTTTCACTAATTTAATGCTAATTAGTTATGCCACATCACCAGGTGCACCATGAGCATAGTGCACCCTGGTGTATTATACAATTTTCACTTGCATTGTACTTTTTTTACTTTCTCTCTCTAATTTTTGTCTATAATTGTACTTTTTACTTTTTTTCCCCTTAAATTTTCCACTTGCCTTGTACTTTTGTCTAACTTTTTTCCACTTCTCCTCTCATTTCTTAAATACCGTGAAAAAAACACAATATGAACTATATTATGGGACGGAGGGAGTATAAAATATGGTTTTGTCAAATCGCAAGAAATGTGATTGACATGTATGAAGCATAGATCTCAAGAAAATTTTATCCATTTGAATTATAAGGGTCCCTTAGGGTAAGACATACTGATTTTGGGTTGTCTCCATCATTTCAGCAACATTCATAGACTTTTAGTTGTATGTTAGTAAATTCCTTGCACAACGCGAAACATCATCACCAACTTCCCTTGTTCTATCAATAGTCCCATCGCATGTTTAAATGTATATTGGTAAGATTTTATGCGTTGTCCTCACTCGTTGTAATAGCTTAAAGGTAAATATCGTTAATGACCTTAATTGGTATTGTGTAAGGGCTTCTTATGCCAATAGTAACTTATGTTAATGTACTGTCCTTTCGTTTGTTGTAAACTCAGTTTAATTAATGTAATTTCAATTGTTTTTTTTTTGTTAAAAAAAAAAATCTAAAAAACTTACAAAGAATAGATACAAGCTTTGGTGTATGGAAATATTAAAAACTAGGTTAGGTCTCGTGCCATGCACGACAATTTTAAAAAATTAATATCAACTTTTCAATATAATTGGTTATTTTACAACAATAAAACAAAAAATCTAAAAACACTATGGACAATCTTTGATTAAAATATGAAAGATAAGTGGATATATCTAATAAGTATAAATTGAATAATTTGATATTCTTAAATACAAAGTAATAAAATCGTCTATTAAGTAATTGAAATATTGATGTGTAAATATTGTATTCAAATATATAATTATATATAGTATCAACATGTTTTGGATGAGGGCAATAAATAATACTGTAATATTGATCTTCATGAGATTTGTGTGTGTGTTTATATTAATATTATGAAGTATAGTCTAAGTAATTTTTATATATTAAAGGTAGTAAATAGTAATATTTCTATAATTAAAATAAAATAATTTAATACAATAACTCATTTTCTCCTAGAGAAAAGAAAGAGCGGGGTTATTATCATTCAAGGGGTAGTAAAAGTATATGCACTACTCTATTGTGAATTCTAATCAATAAATAAACAATTTTAAGGGAAAAAAAATATAAATACTCTCGTGTAGTAAATCATTATATGTCGCAAATCATATTAATATATTCTATTATAGACATAAATGTTTGTGTGAAAAGGTAAATCAAATATTTTATATTTAAAGTAATTATCTTTGTTATTAACATATATAATAAATTATTTTCGTATAAGATTTTATTTTATGATTGATTTTTTTTTTTTTTAAAGGACACAGCAACAAATGACAAGCTTTATTCCTGGTGTGTCTTTTAATATATATATATAAGTTAAATTATTATTATTATTATTATTATTATTATTATTATTATTATTATTATTGATATTTAAAACATGTTTAATTAAAACCCGTATGAAACCCACAAAAATGGGGCGGATCATAATCCGCCCCACTTATTATCAGACCCATATTATAACTCTGGCGGGTCATGGCTTTTAAAGGCCTCCATTCCAATTTCCTACCTCTCTGAGTTATTTCATTGAAGTGCACTCAACGGTCTCCATTGAAGCGTTCTCCGTTGAATCTAATTCTTGTATCCCCCGTTGAAGCAGCTTCTAACGTAAGTTGTTTGTTGTTGCTATCATCACATCAATTTCACAATCTAGGGTTTATATTTGATCTAATCTAATTTAATTATCAGTGCTTTAAGTTTAGGGTTCGTAAATTCTTAGATTATGAAACATCATATCCAAAAGAAAAGAAAATTATGAGCGTAATTTGATTATTGAATCAAATATCCCTAAAATTATGAGATAATTGAATATGAAATTAAATCTCTTTTCCCTGGGCATAGGGCGGCCGCCCCTCCTGCCCTGCCTCAGGGACGGGCCTGTTGCAACGGCAAGTGTTGAAAGAGTATTTTCTGGTATGACGATCGTGAAAGATAAATTGCGTAATAGCATAGGAGATCAAATGTTGAATGATTGTTTGATTATTTTTCTAGGGAGTGATTTGTTTTCCAATGTTAAAATGGATGACATTATAGATTGATATCAAAACATGAAAACTCATCGTGAACAATTGTACTATTAGTACTATGTGTTTGTAATATGTTATTTGTATTACTTTCGGCTTTTAAGTGTAAGATGGATTTTTTAAGTACTATTTAGTTGTAGTATGGATTTTTGTGTCCTATTTGATTGATTGAAATCAATTTGGTTGTAATATATATTTTTTTTGTTTAACATTTTTGGATCCGGATTTTTTTTTTTTGTACTTTCACAGGGATCAATAATTCAGGGTGACTCATAGGTTCGGAAATCCGGGATCCGCCACTGGCATTAATTTGCAAACCAAAATTTATATGTTTTTATGGTGTTGTGTTGAATTTGTTAAATTTCAGTGGTTTTGATGAATATAATCTCTGATGAACTTTGTTTTGTTGTACCCAATTGTTAATAACTGAAGTTAATGCATATTTTCATGTTAAAAAATTGCCCTTTTCCCTTTGTAGTTGATTACATTGTAAACCATTGATTAAATGACATTCTAATATCCCTTTTCAGGAATTACTTGAAAATTAAAGGGATTAAGCTCGTTATTCACTGATCCTGATGTTGAGGTTAGCGGCGCGATATGTGGTAAGCCTATAGCAATCCCAAGTAATTTATAAGTTTCATTTTTTTTTGGAGAGGAATTATATTGATTAATGTGAAATTTTGTTTTTTAGTTGAATCATAGCTCACAGTTTGGGAGAGTTAGATGTCAAGCCCCAAAAATGTGGTTCAGTACAATGGCCCAAGCTGAGGTATATTGTAATCTTTATTGTTCCTCTTTTTTGTGTTATTTAGCATTGTTTTGGCATAAAATCGCAACAACTTTAGAGGGGATTTCGATGATGGTGATTAGAGAGGTCTAGATGTTCATAATCTTATTGCTTAGCTAATGCAAACTAGTGTCAGAACGATTTCCAAAAATCCTCAAGAAAATAAAATCTGTTAGTGAAATGGTATAATTTTAATGCTATAGTTGTTTTCTATTGTTTATGATCTTCTTTTCAAGGTAAACCGTATCGTCTTAGGGTTTTTTTTTTTTTTTTTTGTTTTTTTTTGTTTTTTTTTTTTTTTTTTTTTGTTGACATAGTTGGCCTTCAGGGATCATGGCTTTAGTTCTACTTCCACCAAAAAAACCCTTTGTAAGGAATTTTCTTGCTTCCTTGACATTTCTGTGGAAATTCATTCATCTTATCTTATATCCCTATATATGTAAGATCATTTGCCTTAATTCTATGTCACTTGAATTTGTAAGATATGTTTTAAAGAGTGATGATGTCACCTTTACGAACAACCCCTATGGATCGGTATTTAATCCTTTAGAATAAAAGTATATCATTTCAACTGTATATCACACTTGGTGGGGATAATCCTTTTGTATTAATTTTTACCAGTCTGACTCAGATCTAGATCGAGCAAATCAATTACTTCCTCCGTTTTTTTTTTTATTGCACCATAAAGACTTTTACACTATTCACATAATGTTCTTTGACCATCATTTATGATTTATTCGTAAGAAAAAAACAAGATATTAATAGGCAAAGTAATGTATTGGCAAACGTGAAATCACTCATGGTGCACTAAACAAAGAACGGAGGAAGTATATTTAACCTAACTGTGTGCTGGAGTCTCATGCACTAAGCATTATATTCCATTTAATGTTTGTATGGAGTCTTTCCTTTTACTTGTCTATTTTAGGGCTAATTGCTTCTGTTTACTATCTCTAGTTTGAGGGATTAATTGCTGTTATTTTAACAATATATTTCTCTGTTCTAAGAATAGTTATTGCTTTGTGTTTTTGGGTCAGAGCCAGGTGACATCCGATGAAATTGGAAAGGAAAACAATTATGATCATAATCTATTTTTAGGACAGAAGATTTCAAGGAAAGAGAAGATGAAATTTCTGACTAAGACAGTAAGTTTAGTTATGTTGGTTGCTTTATTCTAATTGCCAATTTACATGAACTGTTAGAAAAATGAATTGTATTTGTTAAGGATATAATTTTGCCATGTGAATGATATAGATGCATATAGTTCATCTCCTCATACTTCCCCTCAAATATAAATCAAACATGCTCTGCAATGAGCTATTAGACCTGAAGTGAATGTTTTGGAATAAGTTAGTGAGATGAAAAGTCCTGAATATTTTACCATTAATATCTTCATAACTCATCTTTGTTGTTTCCACAATACAAGGGAAGTCGAATATTTTCCTTGCCATAGTGATGAATTGAACTCAAGATTGGATGCCTAGGTGTTTTATTATAATTGCTAATTGCCTTTTGTTTTATTCTCGAATGAGGTTCTTGTTCATACCTTCCTTGAGGTGTAGCCTGAGATTCAACATCACTTTTAGTGACTGTAGTTATTTGGAATTCTCTACTGACCAAAATTTGTACCTTAGACACTTGTACCGATTCAATGGGATTGTTAAAGTCAACGATCTACCATGTTTCTCAACTAATCTGTCTTCCGATAAATTGTTTGGATGTGACGTAATTGTCTACCAGGTATGTGATTTGGTTCCGATATCAATAGGTTAGCTGTTAATCAGATTGGAGCATGTCCAGACTCCAGAGTCTTTTGGTTGCTTGGGATCAGATAAGCCCATGTAGGCTGTTTGGCATGCTTGTGTAGGGATTTGGGGAAAGCCACTATATTTTGTTGTGGGAGAATAAGTCAGAATTTGAAGTGTTTGATGAAGCTAGAAGATTTATTCTAGAATTGTTTGATTCATATAAGGAAAAGTGATTTTTCTAGAGTATATTTTTTCTTGTCCTCATAGCAATTAAATCACTGAAGCCATTTGGAAGGCGTAAAATCCCCAATTGCACTTTTACAATTCTCTTGAGTTGTGCACGCTTTCCTGTATATATCTGTATTGTTTAGAAGGGGCTTTGTTTCTTGTTTGTGACATGTTGTTGCATCATTAAATTAGGTTTATTTGATAATTGTACTTGATAATTAAGATTTTCATTTACAATTAGTTTGTCTAAGAAAATGCTCAGTGCTTTTGGCTGTTGTCTGTTGGAAATTGATTGATAGATTTCTACTCACTTAAATATAAAACCCAATAAGCATATCTTTGGTTGACAGAGAAATGGAATCCCCAATTGTTGAAGAAAAAAGATATATATGAGAAAACATAAGTAACAGTAGAAGCCGGAGTCTCCCTATTCTATTAGCATCAGAAAGAAAACTTCTAATGGGAGTGATACCTTCTTTATTGATGACTGCTTTGGGATCAACATCTTCACAATTAGTTATCTCCTGATAACCCGATTAAAGGTTTGGAATTTAAACATTGAATGTAAGTGATTACCCCTGAGCTCGACAGGCTCACATTAGTCACATAGTGTTTGAAAATCTGGAACTGTTGCTGTATGATAGTGCAATGTTGCTATAATCAATCTGTAAATAGAGTTTGTTCTGTGGTCATAATGCTTTCCATTAAAGTGCACTGAGATTGTGGTGGTGCTAATCGTTCTATGAGATTTGATCACATTGTAGGCAAAATAAAAGTAGGACTAAGCTGAGGTTGTTTTACATATCCTTTTTTGTTTGAGCTCTGCTTGAGTTGTAGTAGGAGACTGAATTTTGCGGGAACTCAGATCTGATCCTTAGAAGTTGCAGCAAAAGTTCTGCTTACACTGATAAAGGTTTTAAATTGGTTTAACTAATGAAAGAGGGAGCTAAATACTATGTACTCTGACGGAGGCTTAGGCCTTTCTCCCGCTTTTTGGACAGTCAGGGGTCTATGGATATTTGGGTAGTTGGAACCATCCACTTTGCTTTTATACTTCTAATTTACCCATTACGCCTCCCTTCATTAGCTAAAGGCCACCATAGGATATGACCGACTTGTAAATGTTATGAACTGACTTAGGGGAGGGGTAATATGAGTAGTTTAGTAGTAATCAACTGTAGTACATAAGAGTAAATATGCAATGAACCAAGAGATGCCACCTGTGCACATGAGACAAAAGCTCAGTCTAGAATCATCCTAGGGATGGAGAACGTAAAATTAAACATGGAAGAGAGGTATTGAGAAGGCAGGCAGGCAGATTTTGGAGAGAGTTGTGACCTCAAGTCACTATTGGGAGAGTTGTGAGCTAAACTCACTGTAGATCGAGCTTGATAGGCTAAACCTATCAATTGTGTAAACCGTTGTTTTGTTTATTAAAGCCTCAATCTTTCTTCTCTATTTTACTATTCTGTAGCTTTTCTGATATTTTGTTGTGCTTGGCTCGAGGCTATTACTAAACTCTACCCTTCATATTGGAGTTTGGGGCCAAAAAATGTAAATTTTATAAGACGTCTAAGATTGAAACTTGGACCATACACATGTGGTGACACTAGTAGTTGAGTTTGAGTGATGTTAAGGGAGTTCCTTTAAATTGGCAATGGCGCAGCCTGTATTGGCTAGGTGCACGATAAGGCAACATGTCACGTGTGTGATAAACAGCTTCTGTTGAGAATATTGTTTGGCCTTGAAAAACCAACTTAATTTACCCTTATATGATGTAAACAACTATTGTTTATTTAGGGTTTTACCTTAGGAAGACAAGGACAGGAATTGTCAGTCAAATGTCTTCCTGATAAAGATAAATTTACTCTGCAATTGTTGGCTGTGTGCCTGTGTTGGAACAAGTCTTAGCAATCAGTTTTCTAACTCTATCTCTTTTCATTGATTCATTGTATCTATGCTCTACTGGTAGTTCTAGTGTTAGGTTCAAGTTGAGCCACATGTCTAGACTACTAATGAACAGCCTGTGAAGAAGTCTACATGATATTATTTTATCACTCATCAACTGCAAGGTTCTAATATCTTTTACTAAATCTCTTGTATTGAGATTGTATCACATATATACAAAGGCTTATAGAGTTATAGTATACCCTTCTGACCTTTATCTGATATTCTCCCCTTACCTGGTTTTAAAATACCAGTATTAATGTTATGTCTTGATTTTTATTTATTTATTTATTACTTCTTGTGCAATATTTTAAGTGCTTAAGGGTAGGGTTGAAATTTGACCAATAATATGTTTTATCTCTACATTAGCTGAATATGGCTGTGTTTGCAGCTTTTTGATCTGGAAGACAGTAAAGATGCAATCTATGGCACACTTGATGCTTGGGTAGCATGGGAGCAGAATTTCCCGATTGCTGCACTTAAAAATGTGTTACTGGTTCTACAAAAGGAGCAACAATGGCATAGAGTAGTACAGGTATTACTATTACTTATTTTTTTGTCGGTGTGATTGTTCTAGGTGAGTATGAGGAGAAAATGGAAATATGAAACCGGAAAATAAAAGCCAGTGTCCTGAAGATTATCTGTTTAAATTAATGTAATGAAGTCGGAAAATAAAAGCAAGTGTCCTGTCAGCCATTTGGATAGTATTCGGTGGGTTTCATGCTAATTACAATCTACTATATATGAAGTATATGCATATCATGCCTTAAATATATCCTTTATCTCTGCTTCATCGTGTTATACAAAGTATCTAGCTTGATGCAATGTTACAAATATTGAAAGATGAGCGAAGTTTCTTCTGTTTATTTCACTGCAACTACCTGTTTGCTGTTTATATGGTTAGCTAGCTAGTATGTTTTGTGAGGCTGACAGTTTTAAGGCTAGTGTTTGTTGGCATTTAGCAGTGTTATCTTGGCTTTGTTTCTATATTTACTGTCTGTTGCTTCAGAAGCTCACGAGGCTTGTTTGTGCTACTCTAAGGTTTTAAAATGGATGTTAAGCAAAGGGCAAGGCAACACAGTGGGAACATACCAGCAGCTGATACGGGCTTTGGATATGGACCACAGGGCTGAGGAAGCTCATAATATCTGGATGAAGAAGATTGGTAATAATCTGCATTCCGTGCCTTGGCCAGCATGCCATCTCATGATTTCAATTTATCATCGGAACAATATGTTGGAGGGTCTTATCAAGGTACTTTTCTCTCTCTCTTACTCCCTCTGTTTATTAATATGTGATGAACGTTTTTCATCTATCACTGCACAGTTGATGTTCTAAAGTTTGAAAATTTGCAAAAGTATTCATCTCTCCAAGCTAGACATTCAGATGCCTGGAAGCTTTTGTTTTTCGTCTACATTTCAAATACTGATCAGCTGATAATTTTGCTGTATCATGATATTTAATACCTGGTGCCCTCTGTTACTTGCTTTGTAAAGTGATGATTGTCTCACTTGCATGGATTATGTCTGACCTTGAAGGAAGTTACTGCCTTACCAGTTAAGAGTTGAGTGTTTCTTATCAGTTTCCACCAGTTAACCAAGCTTTGCTTGGTGGGGAACTCACCTTGTGACTTTGAGGTAACAAGTTCGAGCCCCACCAACTACATATGCTTGGGAGTAGGGGGATTCCCTTACCTCCCCCCTCTACTTTCAAGCGTTGACCTGCGGAGCTGTGGTGGCTTAACCTGTGAGAGGTGCCAGTTCGGTAGTCCTTCATCTTACCTTTAAAAAAAAAAAAGTTATAGTGTGGTATGGTCAACTCATGTTATAGTCTGAATACTGTATGATACTAACTCAATTTAAATCAGGTAATAGCCTACCTGGAAATTGCATTCTTATCTAAAGATTTTGAACCATGATATGCACACATTAATGGCCACACCTTAAGTCTGTTTAGTTAACTGAAATTGACTGACCATAAGGATTAGTGTAGAGAAATTTCCCGAAGTTTGAAAGAGATTGATACTGGAATGCCTATGCCTAGGTTGCTTGATCTCCCAGGGCAAGATCCATTTTCACCAGACTTTTATAAGTTCCATCAATATCCACAGAGATCACAAATAGTAAAGTAGCCACAAAGTTGCATAAGCATTGCTGAACCACCAGGCTCCTGCAGGCAATTACTTGGATTTACCAATATCTGTAAAAAAATAAAGTTGCTGTTACATACCATGGTCATGGTAATGGTTTTGGAGCTGCAAAAACAGCATCTCAGAAAGGTTTATGTGAAAAAAATGAAAATTAAATCCACTTCACCAGTGTAGTTTAAGTGTGTTGAATATATTTGTTGAGAAAATTATACGGAGTACTTTTTTTAAACCTTAACTTATCATTATGTTCAATAGAAGTTCCTAACATTTGCAGCAACTGAAATACTTTGTTACATTTGAGTTTCAGTATTATTAATGAGCAAGGTCCTCGCTAAGGGGGTTGTTGTCGTCGTTTTATCACGATGAGCTAATGAATAATCCTCTGCTTTGAAGCTCTTTAAAAGATTAGAGGCTTTTCATCGTAAACCCCCAGAGAAGTCAATAGTACAGAAGGTAGCAGACGCGTATGAGTTGCTGGGCTTGGTGGATGACAAAGAGAAGTTATTGGAAAAGTACGCTGATCTTCTGAACAAGACTCGTGAAGAGTCCAAATTAAAATCAAATAGAGTGAAAACCGGAAAGAAGAAAACTTTAACAGGTGAGCACTCTTGCCCTTTATGTCTCTATAGTTAGCACAACTATTTACCCAGACCAAGGTGGTTAGTCTAATGCGTTAGGGGGGAAATAGGGAAGGGAACTGGACTGATCAATGAAAAATAAGCTAATACGTTCTATGAGAATTCGAAATGCTAGTTAAAGTAATCAAATAATTTTATGTTTCTGCTAACTGAATGTCTATACAAAACAGTGCTAGAGAATAGTATATGTAGAAAAGTAAAGGAAAATAAAACAGAAATAGCTGAAGCAGATTTATCGAGCAGCAAAAGTAATAAGAGCTTACAAGTTAGCTATTAGAAGGAATTGAATCCATTGATCATATGTTCTCTAAAATGCTCTATTATTTTTGCAGGACGTAAGAGTAGTCTTGCCAATGGTGCAAAAGCATGAATCAAGTACCCGACGCCTTACCCCTTGCAGTTAAGCTCTTTCTGTTTTTGAATGTAGAAGGGATTGATGAGCTTTGTGCTGATATATAATTATTGGTTCAGATGTGTATATTGAAAGTCAGCCAAGTTTGCTGTTTGCAGCTATTTTCCGGTTACACTCATATTCAGATATATTTCTTGCATAAGTTACCTTGTTACGAGAACAGTGTGGAAGAACCTCCACAGGCTACTGGTACAATGAGGAAAGCTCTGGAAGCCATGACCTGTGAAAATTTTGAGCAAGATTACATCCTTTGTCCCAAAATAAGAAGTTGTTCCAAACTAATACGAAGTCTATCAGTTGCTAAACTTAGGAAGCTATCTAAAATTGCCGAGGATGTTTGTTCGAAACTGTTTTTTTTAAGGAAACGAGAATGATTCATTATTTAGGCTACTTATTTCATAACTTTTTCTTGTACAATTCTCCCTCCCTTTCAACAACCACCACAACACCCATAGTAGTTCACCAACTTCTCCCGTTGCATCCACGCGTATGTGATTATGTTAACATGTCGTCATACCCTCTTGGTTGTTGCCACCACAATATCAAGCCAATGCGGAGCTGCCGCCTACAATACATCGCCACCACCCCTACAATTCATCATCCAATTTTCATTTGTGGGAGGAAGCAAGGCTGGGTTGTAGGGTTAAGTTTGAGGTGGTTAGCAATTTAGCATTGGTTGAAACAATGGTTTGCGGTGGTCTAGTGGGCCAGTGGCAATGATTTGGTCCAAAAGTGGCAACGGTGAGGGTGGGGGAAGCAATAGCAACCAGGGATTTTACCCTCCCGTGACACTCTCCCATCTTTCTTTATCAATTATTATTTTATGTCATAGAGTTGAATCCGTGATCTCAAAATTAAACATTAGAAATTTAATCATTAAACTATATCATATTACATATTTTTTATTCTATATGAAATAAATACATGACAACATACATGTAATAAAAAAAAAAAAATTAAAAAATAGGATTGAGTCCTGAATTTTATACATAAATATTGTCATACAAGTAATAATCCAGGATATTGTCTGGAACAAAAGTTAGTTCAGTTATAATAACAAACTACGTACGAGTTTTTAGTCTTTATACATGCGACTATGCGAGTATGCGACCTAGCGGAAAACAAACTATATACTTTAGCAATAAAAAGTTAAAACATTCTTAAAGCACACACTTAATTATAATAAAAATGGTAAACTAAGTATCACTTTTAAGGATCAAGTGTAATGATTCTCCCACCCCCCACCACTAAACATTTTAACAATTAATTAATTAAGTAATTATTATTTATTTATTGTTAATAATCTATAGTCCTGTCTGAGTGACAGAAGTCAAATGATGATGAGATCCGAAAAAGGGAAGCCAAACAAAATATTATTATTGATGTTACACTTTGTGGTTGCACATTTTAATATTTGCTTGTAATTTTATGCCATCTTTTTTATTTGTTTTGGAAACTAATTTTAGTAAATCTAAGTCAGCACTGAGCAAGCATTTTTCCATTTTAGACTCCACCAACCAGCAAACTTTGATAAAGATTGAGGAAAAGAAAAAGAATTCTTGTCTATTAATTGTACCAAAATTATTATACTACCGAATGAAAATATTATGGAAAATCATTGACTGTTGAACTTTGTTCTCTACAACTAACTTACTTTTTAAAAAGACTAGGATTGAAGACTTGAAAAAGTGTTTCGCATATATTAATACTTAATACCCTCTGTAGCTCTTTATACACACTTACAGATGCGTCGGGTTTATGCTCTCTCTTTATTTCTATATATATTTATTATTACTATTATAATTGTCTATTTTTATGATACGAAGCACAATATCATCCTAAAATCAATTGGTAATAGGCCGAGTAATCCACTAGTCTTGATCATGATTGACAAGCATTATGTTAATGAGCTTACTATGAATATAAAAGTCCATATTAATTTAAGTTTTACATCTTGATAAACTTCTCTTGGGTGAATGCAAAGGTCAATTTTATTACTGACTTGTTAGTGCTTTATATAGACACAAACTGTCTTTTAAATAGATAATTGCTGTTTCTGATCTAATTTTTCATGTATCACAAGGTTTAATTATACCTATGAAATTAGGCTGTACCTCCCTATACTGCAACATTCCTTTTACTTAATATTTTTTCTAATTAAATTAAGTTAATGACAATAAATTAAATTTTATGCAAATGTATGTACAAAATATTCATCGTAAAAACTTGCTTTTTCAGAATGTTGGTGCATTCGTACGACGGTAAGAGATTAAATTCATTTTAATAAAACAACATGGTGTCCCTTAATCAATTAAAGCTCTAAATTAAGAGACATAATATGATGGAATGGTATCGAAACCATTACAACGCCGCATTAAATTTTAAAAAAGCGTAATTAGTACGTACTCATAATATAAGCTAGTCCTATGTTCTTAATGTAAATTAAATAAAGGTTAACGAGTGTCGTTTGAACAGTAAATCAAGGAATAAAGCTACGGTCGTATTATTAGTTTAATTACTTTAATTAATTCAAACATCATGTATGGCGTAATGAGCAACTAATTAAACAAGTTGAATATAATTAGGCATTTTTAGTACATTCGTAATCTATTAAGGATTTTGCATAAAAAGTTTTCAAAATGCGAATAGAATTTAAGGAATCAAATTTGCTGCTCGAGGTAAATTAACTTTCAAGTTGACACAAAAAGAATATGTTTTGTTGTGGTGGTGGAGGCAATATTGATTGGTATTTGCATCATTAACAAGATCTAATTTCACCTTTGGTAATTCTCTAATTTTCATAGTAATGTCACCGATTAAAACGATTAATCAACTTTTAAGTATATATCCTTTTCAAAAAATGGTGCATATATGACTTGGAAAAGAAAGAATCAAATCACCAAATGAGATTAATGTGGTACAAATTAAGGATCTATTTTGTATTTTAATTAATTTGCATATATAAGTTCATATCAAACCACCTTAAATCGATCATTGAATTGATTTGAGTAATTATCTATCATTCATTATTGTATGTCTATCTAACAAAAGTGAAACCAATGTCATTAAGGCTATATTTGCTTGGAAAAAACTCTTTTCCAACATGTTAATTAGTTTATTACATTAAGGATTGAAAATTTGAAAATATAATTTTCTAGGTCAAAGTATGTAGGTTTTAAAATATAGTACTCATAGAAAAGAATTAATGTCAAACTATTTTTCCTTTAATTAATCTGTAACTTTTTTAGCAAGCAATCAAACAAATCTAATAAAATAATAAAAGACTTAATAGCGTGTCCATATATATACATATACCTTAAAACTTCATAAAAACGTACATTTTTCTTTTAAGTCGAACACACCCAAGTTTAATTAACTCTTTCATATTGACTCATCAACAAAGATGTTGTATGATGGAGACAGTGACATCATTAAGAGGATCTTTGCTTGGGTACACCTCATTTTTATAATAAAGTTACTAATTGTGGATTCAATTTATAGCCCACATATCTTGTACTCTCCCACTTAAATTGATCTTCATCTCTAACATTAATGAAGAAATTGAAATTACACTTGTGTAATTTGTTAGTGTAGCAATTTAATTGACCCCCCAAATCCTCCCAAAATCCAACACTCATGATTTTACAGTTGCTTTCTTAATTAGTGCATTAATAATCTCATCCTTGTTTGAAAAATCACCTGAATGATTGATCACTTTTTGAACATAGTCAAACACAAGATAATCTTTGTTTTGGTTTTGAGGCTAATTTCATGTTGACTTATTTTCATTATATTGCTTTAATTAGCTTTTATACAAGATATTGATTGACCACTTTAATTTGGTGCATTTGTGATCTTATTAATTATCTCATTTGACAATCTAAAGATGTATAATGATCAAGATAATTCGTGGAATATCTTCTTTGATAACTAAACTTTTTATTACCACATTATATTGATGGGACACCAATATATAAATTTATGTTACATTATATTATGTGGTTGCATTGTAAACCTATATATAATGCTTCAAATTAATTGGTATGATAGATAGAACTCTAGAAGTGTCAACTCAATTCAGGTGACTGGGTTGGGTTCGGTTAAGTCTCGAGTGAAGTCGGGCATAGTTCAACTTTGAATAATGCTAAAACACTGTGTCCATACATGTCAAATTTTGATTGGATTTTCGAATTAGGTCAGGTTAATTTTTGACACCGGACCGGCCTCTATGGGAGACTTTACTCATTAGTCATTCACCACATATTAATCTACAGCGTAATTTATTATGTGCACATCAAAGTTTCCTGACACTAATGTGCCTTTTCCTGGTAGTGTCTATACTTATTTCATGTTGAAGCAGGATATATAAGAGTATATAACTCGTCTTGCAGGATCATAAACCCAAGATCAGAAAATAACACATAAAAGTCGTATACGAGTTATTAACCTCTCAAAGTCCTAGGTAAAATATGTCAAGCAAAATAGATACTTCTTCCATTTCTCAATTGATAAATCTTTTTTCTTTTTAGAATGATTCTCAACGAATGTATTTTTCTAGTAAAGTTTAATTTACATGTAAAATTACTATGTTGTCCTCAGCTTAAATGGGGCCAACTCTGTCTTTTACTTTACATGCTATGGTTAAAGGTTAAAACATGATAAACTATATCAAAATTTCTTACTCTCATGTCTTTGCTATTAGTTTGTGTGTCAACTGTAAAAAAAATGCATCAATTGTGAAATGAGGAAAGTATTACATATTACGTATACGAGTTGTTACATTATCTCATGATAAGTCGGCACACTATATTTTTGTTTTGAAGACAAATATAATATCATGGCTAAGTTCTTCCATGGGAGAAAAGGGGCAGGTCGGGCCAAAAGATTGGAACTTCCATAACATAAAGATCGAATTTAAATTAAATAATCAAAGTATGTATAAGACTTAAGTGCATAAATAAATTAAATGTCGATTCCACGTGGACATGCATTGTCAATGCCACATGGAAAAGCACTATTGGCTGTTAAGGTAGGCGTTATGGCATCCCATTGGTAGACAGCAATGCCATGTAGGTCCACTACACCCCACAAATTATTTAGTTAATTAGCCAAATATAAAAGCTAAGCTAACTTAGGTCAACTTATAAAACACAAACTCTACTAATTAAAGATATGATTTGACATGTTTATATATGTCAGTGCATTGACATGTGTTTCAAATTTGATGGTATCAATTATTGCGGGGCGAATATGCTAGTCTACGCACTATACCCTCCTGCTTTCATTTAGATCTTCTTGTTGTAACGAACGAATCACGGCTACAAAAACCTTTGTTGCTTCACATATATCCCTTCAAGTCTAAGCACCAGCAATAGTAATCGGACCTTGATATTGCTAATAGTTCATCTGGAGTCATTTTCTCAAGTTCAGCTTCCCTCCATTGAGCAAAGTTGTTGCGATTTTGTGGGTCACTGGCTAATGGATAATATTCTGCCTTATGATTTTGAGACCTCATTCTCATGTAGAGTTTCATTGTAGCAACACAATCTTCATAAGGATCTTGGACACCAATCTGGATTTCGTAACTGTAACGTAAATATTATCAGTAAATATGAAAGAGCGAGTTTACAAACAACATATATAAAGAACCATATACTTAGTTAAGACTTAAGAGGTACTTGCCCTAAATATGCTTGTGTTAGATATCTAAGTGAGTTGCTGAGCTTGCTTGTTTTCATCAAAGGAGGATATTTTGAGGTATCCCTGCAGACCAAAATACCACATTAGTATATGCATTTTGAAGCTTATGGTACTTATTTTCATTGTCATCATTCAACAGTGTTTAGGGATGCATACTCCAAAATTTAAATATTACTTCCTTTACTTTTAATTATAAGAGCTAGTCGAATTAGAGTATATGAATAGTGTAGAAGTCAAAGTGTTGCAAGTAAAAAAAAAAAACGGAGGAAGCATATGTATTTTACTGAAAGAAAATATTCGAGAAGGTTTTTTTTTTTTTTTTAATAAGTATATATATATATATATCACTTACTTAGCTTGCTAGATAGAACGAATCTACAATTAAGTTTCTTTGCAAGATATTTAAAACCCTAAGGACCCTCACAACTACAAATTGTTTGTGCTCTATATATTCTTTTTTTATCATTTCCCTTGTGTAACAACCTTGACTTTTCTCAATATAATTCTACCAATTCCCAACAAACAAATTTATATCATCAAAGTTTGATTAGAAAGAGATATTGAGCACTTATATATAATCAAATTAAATCAAACCATCAAATGACTTATATTAGTTATGAACTCATTTATATGCACGTGATTAATAATTGTCAATATACTTCCTTTGTTTCTTAATATTTGTATCAATTAACTTATACACTCTTATTATACTAACTTTGACCATATTTTACAACTAATAATGTACACGAAGCATAAATAAATTTTATTATTTTAATGGTGAGTTAATCTCAATATGTATTATTATCTAAATATAATTGATGCATTGAAAAACGTGTATATTTAATTGATGCAAATATTAAGAAACGAAGGAAATAGTTCATACCTAAGCATCAATGCGGGATATTCCATTCCTAGGCACTCAAGGTCATGATCTAGTCCATGGCCAACAAGAACCCTAGCCTTTCCTCCTCTTGATCGAATTTTCCACACCGGCTCTCCATTGCATAAGAAATCTTGAATTTTTCTTTGAACCTGCTTCAATGGCATTGCATCCCTCAAGTAATCCGGTCTGATACCCGTGGTTTCAAATCTACACACGAAATACAATAAGTGAATGAGTCGTGTATAAGATAATTTAAATCAAGCTAGTAGAGAAACTAATGTCGAAAATAAAAGTTACCTATAGTTAGTCACTGGAATATGAGGCTTGACATATGTTTGAAACAAAATGTTATCATATTCATCAGTTAGGCAAACCCTTGCACAAATATCAAGTGTTCCGTCATTACCACCTCCTACCATTTTGCATGCAAGCGCAACTACGTTAGGACTTCTTTCTCGACCATAATCGATCTTCATATTGTCACACATTTTCAAGTTTGCCATGCTAGAAATTAGTGCCTGCATAAAAAAAAAAAAAAAAAGGTTCAATTTACAAAGTTTTGATGGAAATACTATTAATTTGTTACATTTGTTTTTCCAAGCTAAAGTCATTACATTTGGTCGAGAGAGTTGACATGCTCCTCGATGCATTCTGAGGGTGTAAGGGCTATCTAAAATGGTCAAGCATATGTTGCATCCTCGACTACTAAATATCTTTGCGCATTCCACCTTTGGTAATGGTCCTGTGAAAACAATATAGATAGGCAAAATTTGTCCGTGAGTGTTAAATGGAGAGAGAAAGATAATGATGCATGTGATAATGAGGAGATAGATAGCGAGAAGTGACAGCTTAAAAAAGAAAGAAAACATTTGTTGCATAGCATACAACTGTTTTTAATAAATGTTGCACATAATATGAAACGGAGATAGTAATATTATAGGATATAAACCTACCAATAAGATGTTCTCTTAATGATTCGAAGGATCGGCAACGCTTTTTACAAACACCACACATAGGTTCATGAACAGAGTGAAAGGAGGTTCTCATGTGATCCACCAAATGTTCCTTTCTGTTAAATTGTCTATAGCATGCAGCACATTTGTTTCTGCATTACATAAAGCTTTAATGTTAGATAACATTTCAAGATGAGATGATAAGCTACTAAATGAAATTATATTTTTAAACAAGAACATAAATGTGATGAGATAATTTCAATTCAGTCAACATAATACTGAAACAAAACTTGACTTTAAAGAACTCTCGAAATTAGCTTGAGAGATAATAATATGTAAAAGTATTATGATCGATGTTCATTATCTTTTAAAATAATGAATCTGTCTATAATTATTAGTAAAACTAGAACACAAGAAAAGGATAGGCAATAGAAGACTTAAATTTGCAAGTGACCAAAATAGAAAGTAGAAGAAAGGGAAAAAGAAATATACTTGATTACTTTCCATGAGTTTATTATAGTGAAGACTAAAGAAGACATTGGATTAATTTTCTTCCAAGTTATATAGCGAGCAGAGTTGAGATGAACTCAAAATCATAGGGACAACGAACAAGAGAGGAGAAACATATCATATCTAGGGTTTCTTAAGAAAGAAAATAAGGAATTTTATAAACATTTCATTCTTTTTTTCCTGAAATTGTTTTTTTAATTAAGTTCCAAAGCTAAAAGTACGTTAGATATTCCTACTTTGGACTTCATTGAACTCACAATTACATGTACTAAGAACATACATAATTAGATTACTAATAGTAGGTCGAGCAAACTTGTTTAATTTGATCAAATCATATTGATTGGATGATATATTTTGGTAACGTTTATACCCGTCTACTTGACATTGATAATACAACTATGCATCAATATTTACATAAACATGAAACATAAAATCATGATATATGGCAATATGCAACAAGTTTAACAAAAAAAAAAAAAAAAAAAAAAACTTCTGCAAACATTTTATGATAGAGAATGTATAGAGTAGAAAAATGCCTTGAGGATTCAGAAGACTCAATTGATCTGTAGTCCATGATGGTTTGTTGTCGGTTGAAGGGAGTTCAATAATGCTCGCGCTCTTGATGTGTGAGCGTAGACAATAACAATGTAAGAAAAGATTGAGGTTTGAGGGTTACAAAGCTCAAAATTTATATCAGTTGAAAGGCAGCAAAAAGGAAGATAAAAATCTGAGATTCCTCAAGGATAATGTCATCATGGACCGATTTTTGTTCGCATGCAATAAAATGATCAGTGCATTCGAATAGGGTTATATTCCTTACTATCCTTTTTGTCAATCTTGCAGCTTAATCAAAGTAATACTAGCAGTTATACGTGGCTAAAATGACAACTCGACAAATAAATAATTTGCATGTAATGGTTATTATTTTATATTTCAAGTTTCTACAATTAAGAAACAAAAGAATCTATAATCTACTACCATATTATGTCAGCGTATCTCTTTTTCATTGGTTTTAATTTGCCGCGTATCAGCTACAATATGTGCTACCATTTGTACGTCGTGGAAAGAGAGCTAGGAAGGGAGGGATTTGTGTACTTTTGAAAATGAGCATGGGGAATGTCGAGAAATTCTCTGCTTCTAATAGCTTGAGTCATGAATGACTCAAATAATATTTGTTGGTATTAAATTGTGGTTAGATGGTATTGCCATGATACCAAAATATAATACTTCTTCATTAATACCAACAATTGCAAAATATCATCAAAATTCTTTGTCATTTTATAAAGACATTTTAATACCAACCTTATGACTCAAGCTATTAGAGGCATTTATGACTCAAGCTATTAGAGGCAGTGAAATGTTCGGAGGATGTCAGCCTAGACTAGAGTATGCCATTTGACTGAGGTGGGCCTCAAGAGATAATTTTTTGAACTTTGAAAGATACCCAAAGTCAAAGAGAAATGAATATATGGTCCATGCTATGGTTCCATAGCTTTAACATGCACGTATATATGGCTTTGTGACTTCCATTCTATTGACAATATTCTCTATAATTTCTGATGATACCTTAGCTTTTAAGTTGTCCCCACTTTTACAAGCTCTAATCAAGGCTTCTTTAGAGATTATAGGCCACTAATAATGGTCCCTTTTGGCTTATACAATCAATAAGCTAAGAGAAGGGAGCATTACACGCCAATATAAGGTATGGTTTAATTTCATTGTGCTTAAGAGTATGGTGTCAATGGCTAGATTACTCTAGAACTTATTTTGACCGTGAGTTATCTTTATTGTTGCAATATGCTACCTGAGCTGGTTGGTGATCCCATTGTACAACTTTTGGTCTCGAATATGACTTGTATGTTGGAACAGGCTTTGTCGTTATAGATTTATCATGTACTAGTATTCCACACAGGTTAATATTGCTTACATGCAATGATGAATAAAAAGAGGATGCTTTCTTGGTTCCCATAGATGGTCAAAAGCTGCCCCGTGCATACGTATCAACACTCTAGTGGATTTGGCATATATATAATGTTCTCAATAAGCTAAGCGATTTCTTTGCTGTTGGAACCACAAAATAAACTTGTGGTTTTAATCATTATATAATTACCATTTATTCATATATGTCACGAGAGAACATTATTAATTTTTGAATTTTTCTTGAAATTTTATAATCATCTCCTAATTAATATACGATTAACTAGAGGGTACGATGATTAATATTTGCGAAATTACATGTTTTTTTCATTGTAATATTATCTTCACCTCTTAACAAGTTAGCCTTTTTGATGTGGATAGCACTAAAGGTTTTAAACACGGTTATAAGAATGTGGAGTGCATTGAAGGGAATCTATGTATTTGCTTAACTTTATGATCTTATTGATTCCTTCGAAAGCCCATATATTTTTTTTTTTTTTTTTTTTTAAAAGGGATGGTCAAATTTTGACTAGATTCCCTTTGAATATGCAAGATTACGTTTGAAAGACATACAAAAAAAGTATTTATTATATAGCGGCTTTTATGTCCTCATTCATTTTTTGAGCTATATAATTCTCTATCATTTGAGGAGTTAAAGTCGGTAGACAAAGATCTAAAGAAAGTTTGGTACTAATGTACTCTTTGACTCTTTCAATTGTCAAACTATATAATCCATTTTTTTTATCCTTAATTTCTTTAGTGACCCTTCTCACAAAAGCCTAAAACTAATCCAGCCACCCTTTTCTCCACCCCTACCCAACGCAGCCGACGTTCCTTGCCCTACCTCCGACGCACCCCCTCCCCTAGCTTGAACTCGCCCCACCGGAACCCTCCCCTCCCTTTCCCAAAAATGGCCACGAAATCAGTCACTAACGGTCGAAATCAGCCGGTTGAGGGCCTGAGTGGTCGATATCGACCCTAAACCGGTCAATTTCGACCACTTTCGGCGTTTTTGGTGGCCGTTTGGGGGAAGCTGCCGATTTTGGGGTAGGAGAAAGGGAGGTGGCGGAGTTTCTAGTGGCTAGGGTTGTGAAAAGGGGTGTTGGAGGTGGGGCAGGGGCGATCAGCAGTGGGGGTGGGGTGGCTGGGTTAGTTTTAGGATTTTGATTTTTTATTTTTTTAACCAATTATATGATGACATGTGGGAATTGTAGGCCCCACTAACGGGTTCATCCAAGAATCCGTCAAGTGGTGGTAAAATCGAATTTTTAAAATTTTTTTGTGGTGTTAAAAATCAAAATTTTCGTTATTTAACAAAATTTTATATACTGACAATTCCTAGTTTTTGATTAATTGCAATAATAGGCAGTGCACAGTGAGAATATTATATTATTATAAAAAATAGTTAGTAGCTTAGAAATTTATTTAAATATTAGTAAGAAAGAAAAATAATACCTCAGCTCCCTCATTTTTTTACTTGCAACACTATAACCTTCATTCACACTATTCATATACTCCCCTTCGACTAGCTTTGATAGTTATTTTATGATTTATATGTAAGGAAATTAACTGTAATAATCCACTAGAGTGGATCTCATGGTAAATTTCTGAAAATGAGATTTTCATGCAGTTATAAAGGGGTGTTAAATACCGCCATCCAAATTCATCAAAACCGCCATCATTTCAAGCAAAGGGTCATCATTACCCTTACTAAACCCTAACCCATTTTTTCTCCCCCTTTTTTATTTTTATTTTTTTTTATTTTTATTTTCTCTCTCATCAAACTAACACCCCAACCACCAACCTTGTTCCACACAACCACCACAACCACATAGTAGAGGTTACCGGCAGAAGTTGCTGGCGGCGACGCGAAAGCAGGCGGCTGGTCAGGCAGATGTCAAGAGGCGGCGGTTCAGGTGGCGGAATGGCTGGAAAGGAGGTAATCGTTGGTTGGTATACTCGGGTGTACCGTGCGCATGGTAAATCCGGATCAAAACTAGTTAAAATAAAAAGCGGAAAGAACATAACTTATATTTGTAATAAACATCACGACTTTATAAAAGAACACAACATTGAAATATAAAGAACGTGGTAATTTTGGTGAATCAATTTAAAAAAAAGGTAAAAGATAATCACCAATTGATTTTTACCACGTATTTAATGTCAAATCATTTCAAAATATTCAGTTTTCTATAATTTTTGTCTCTAAAATTATTTTTTATGAAGATTTTATTTTCAAAATTTCAAATTCTAATATATTTTTTTTTAATCCTGTTCTCTTTCTTTTTTTAAAAAAAATTCTGTAAATAACCAATTATATATTTTTATATTTTGTTATAATATTCATTTTGGTCATGTGTATTTATTATGATGTTCATTATATGATTTTAAATGTCCATGTTCTTTGATTGCAATTTTAGTGTACCTTTATTGTCACACAATGTTCATACTTATTGTCAAATGTTCCCTGAATTTTATTTTAACATGTTGGTTAAATATAAATAATGTTATTTAAATAATACTATCATGTTCTTTATCAATATAGCGAATGTTCTTTAAATCTATCGGAAAATCAATCATCAATAGAAGAGGTCCCAAAAGTATATCGTCTTCATCAACCTTTATGATCCTGATCTATTATAAAACAAAATTATACATATACACAATTAGATGATTAAAAATATACATATACACAATTAGATAATATTTTTTTGAAAAAAATAGACAAATAGATGAACATAGTTTGTAACGTAAAGAACATATAGTTCAAATCCAAAGAACATAGTTTGTGACTATGAAGAACATATAGTTTAGACCCAAATAACATATTAATTAAACTCAATGAACGTATTCATTCTAATTAAAAAAAAATGAATATGGATCAAAAAAACTGATAAAAGAACATTTATCCCAATCCAAAAGAACTTCATCTTCAACATCCGAAAATAACACAAATTAAAAAAAAAACACTAAAATAATTAAAAAAAAAAATTACATTTTCTTTCGGTGATGAATTCGTTAACAATGATCCATGAACAAATATAATAATCTAAAAACATCATCATCAACAACAAAATTATGAAATATAAATTGAATAAAAAATAATTAAAAACTACCTTCTCATTTGGTGATAAAATCTAAAATTAATTATCATCAATCTGGTGATCATTAAAGAACATATTAATTAAACTCAATAAACGTATAGTTTAGACCCAAAAAATATATTAATTAAACTCAATGAACGTATTCATTCCAATTAAAAAAAATGAATATGGATCAAAAAATCTGATAAAAGAACATTTATCCCAATTCAAATGAACTTCATTTTCAACATTCGAAAATAACACAAATTAAAAAAAAAAAAACTAAATAACCAAAAAAAAAAAAAATTACATTTTCTTGCCGTGATGAATTCGTTAACAATGATCCATGAACAAATATAATAATCTAAAAACATCATCATCAACAACAAAATTATGAAATATAAATAAAAAATAAATTAATTAAAAAGTACCTTCTCATTTGGTGACAAAATTTAAAATTAAATATCATTTGTTAAAAACATCAACTTGGTGATCATCAAGTGCAAATCAACAATCATATATCGTGAAAATTCATCATGAGCCATCATTTTCTCTCTAAAAAATTTATTTTTTTCTCTTGGAATTTTATTTCTACTCTAAAATTTACTATTTTTTCAAAAACTGAATGAACAATTATGGATATGAAAAGCTAAAATTATGGAAAGGTAATAACAAAAATCCTTCAATTAAGGAGCATAAATTTAGGAAGCTAACTTTTTTTTTTTAATGACAATTTTCTTCCAAGTGTACCATGAGCATGGTACACCCTGCTGTACCATGTAAATTTCAAAAGGAGGTAAGTATTCTCGTGGATTTTTTTTTCTTCTGTTTTTCGTTTTTTTTAATAAAATCGATGGCTAATACCGTAAGTCAAAACCGGTTACCGTGACGATTTTTTAGCTCCGGTTGACCACGGTAACCGGAGCCCTAAACCAGTTATCGTGGACGGTGACCGATTTTCAGCTCAGGTTGACCACGGTAATCAAAGCCCAAATCCGGTTACCGTGACGGTTAACCAGTTTGTGGCTGTGGTTTACTGTCGTCAAACGGCAGTTTCTCCGGCTAATCTAACCACTTTAAACCCCCCAAAAAAAAGTCATACTTGCTGAAAAGCCGACGGTGGCGTTCCCGGTTCATTTTTCGACGAGCCACCTCGATCACCTTCCATTTCTCGTCGACTTTCACGGTAGTGGTGGCAGTCTGGTGTAGATGGTGGTGGTTTACACGATGGTTGTGGCCTGGGTTGTGGTGGTTGACGCGGGCATGGGTCATACCGGTGTTGTGATTAGTGGTGGTTGACTTGGTTGTGGTGGATGGACTAATGTTAGAGAAAGAAAATGGAATTTTTTTTTTATTAAGGGCAATGATGTTTCTTTGTTTGAAATGATGGCGTAACCCTTACGGTTTTTTGGATCCTGTATTTACGGGTCGGACACTTTGAGAGTGAGGGAGAAGAGTAAGGGATCCCCACCCTCAAAGTGAAAATTGTATAATACACCAGGGTGCACTATGCTCATGGTACACCTGGTGATGTGGCATAACTAATTAGCATTAAATTAGTGAAAAAAAAATAGTGGAAAATAAAAAAAAATCTGGGCAAAACTATAAGGAATTATTCCCTTTAAATTGCTTTCAGTTTTAAATTATTATCCTTAATGAACATTTTCCATTTTAAAAACATTTTTGGGTTTCAATAATACAAAGTATGTTCTTTGAATTTGGCTCGTATTTTCTTTGAGGTAACGAGTGACGCACAAATTCTTTTTTGAATTATCATATATCATTATTTTTTATTATCGTATGTTCTTTGAGTTTGATCAGTGTGTTCTTCGGGTATGAATTATATGTTCTTTACATTATATTTTATGCTCTTTTAACATATGTTATTTTGAATTTTGAAATTTAAAATTTAATTTGAAAATGAAATCTTGGTTTTTTCTTAGTTGAAAATATTTTAGAGAGAGAAAAATAAAATTATTATGGAAAGTTAAATTTTGGAGAGAGAAAAAACAATTTTTGGGGATATGATATCTTTGGTAAAGATTTTTTTCGTTAATGTGTAATTTTTCATAAAATTTTAATAAAGTTTTTATCACATACTTTTTGTAATGTCTTTATGTTCTTTAATAATTCATGTTCTTTATTAAACACAAACATGTTCTTTTTCAAAAACCTGCATGTTCTTTTTCAAACAGCTAAATGTTCTTTCAGCCTTTTTTTTTATTTAACCATGTGCACCATGTGCATGGTGCACCCGGGTGCACAGATCATGCATTGCCCTCAAAGTGTTTGTAATGGGAATTAAACCCCCAACTGACCTCAAGCTTGGTAAATATCATTAAGGTTAGTTTTATCTTTTTACGACCAAAAACAATTCCTAAGTTTTATATTGCCTCCATGTAGTGGTACTCCGTATTATTTTTTGGGTAGGAGCTAGAGTGTATTTTCACAACCCCCCTCCCCTTTCACATTGACTTATTTAATATGGCCTAGTGTACTCAAGTCATCATAGATCTTAGTCGCAAACCTGACTCTAATAACATGTCAAATACATACGAATCTAGGTGGTTCACAATGCAAGTCCAATTTAAAAAAAAAAATCATCCCTAAATCATATTATATGACAATAAAAGGAGTACACAGCCCCTTAGACTTATGAAATGTTATAACTCTGTCTTCTGTTGTTATATATATCAGTGTAGGGTACATACATGTGTTATTTTTGAAAATGGAGGTACATACGTAGTAATTACTTCTAGTTACTACTTAGGCCATGTTCACTTCACCTTAAAAAAATAGTATTAAGTAAAAATAATTTCAGTTCAGTAAAAATAGTTTCAGTTCAGTAAAAATTAGTTCAGTTCAGTTCAGTATCTTTATAGAAGAAATTATCAGAAAATCAGTAAAAATAATTTCAGTTCAGTAAAAATAATTTTAGTTCAGTAAAATTAATTTCAGTTTAGTAAAAATAATTTAAATTCAGTAAAAATAATTTCAGTTCAGTAAAAATAATTCAGTTCAACAAAAATAAGGTGAAGTGAACAGGGCCTTACTAGTTACTATGTAGTACTATCCTTTTTTAACCTTTTTTTTTTTTTTTTTTTTTTTTTTAAGTTGGCTCTATCTAATCTATGCATTATGATTGAGCCAATCTTATATAGAAACTTATCTCGATAAATTTTTTTTTTTGGCGTTTAAAGAGCCACAAAAGTGAGAGATGAGAATCGATTCGGAGGATTACCTGGAACCTGGAGGGGAGCTATATCCACCTGAGCTATCCCTCACTCTTACTTATCTTGATAATTATAAACATCTTCTTTGCTTTTATGGAATTGCATACACTTAATTTTGCTCGGACTTATTAGTCATGGTATGATTCAAGTTCTATAATTATACTGATCGAATCTATAGTAATACCGGCAAAAATAAAGGGAATAAATAATTACCTTAGGTTAAGAAAAGATTCCTCGTCAAACTACTTTAATTTTTAATATAACAAGTTAGTTCTTTTTTAATTTACCTTATTACTATATAAGGTAAAATGTACGTGTAGTGATGCACCATACATTGGTGTCATGGTGTGTAATGAATCTCAAAAAGGTAATGAAATAATTAAAGATCAGATGATAATCTATTTTATAAGTTGAAAAGGTATATGAAACAAAATTTGGAGAATAATTTTATACATTAAGAAAAAAGAAATAGATCACGTAACAATAACATGGAGGAATTTAAATTTGATACGTATTGAATTGTATAATTAAATGTAGCATATTTTTTGGGAAAAAAGGGTTATGGAATTGTAGGTTTTGTTGCACTTTTGTGGCGTATATAGTAATAGTAAGGCTGCAGTAAGTTATGGTGAGCTGGGGAGATGGGGGATGAGTTGTAGCTTGCTAGGAGAGAGAAGTACATAGCTGGCTTTGCTTGCTATACACATCGACCTTTCGTATCTCACATGCCTATACATATTATACTCGACCTGTCTATTTTATATCTTCTGTCCACTTAACTAATTCTACCTCAATACGTAGTATCAATATCGCACGATTTACGAAATTGAGCCTAATTGAAAAACAATTTACGAAAATAGACGCGTGGCAAAACTATTTACGAAACTGAGCTTCAGAGGTAAAACGCTGACTCGGTCAGCGTTTTATTCCTTTTTATTTTATTTTTTTAAAATTTCGTATTTTAAAATGCCAAATTAAAAAAATATGAAATACAATGAAACGCTGACTGAGGCAGCGTTTTTAGGTAGGTCCTAAAACGCTGCCTGAGGCAGCGTTTCATTAACAAGGGAAAGACGCTGCCTCAGTCAGCGGTTTTCGCTGGTATATTGCCACAGAAAACCGCGACATCACATATTCACTCTACTTCAAACTCTCTCAAACTTGCTCAAACTCTCTAAAACGGATATTCCGTCGTTGTACTAGGCCTCCCCGCCACCGGAAAGTGTGCTGATGCCGCCGCCGTCGCCGCCTTGTTGGTACTCTCTCTCAAACTCTCCTCTTCATTTAATGACATTGTTGGTACTTCTCTTTGTTTTTAAAATTTTAAAACCTAGGTTAGTTTGATAATTATATACTACATTGTTTTAATTTGATAATGTTGTTGATTATTCTAAGTTAGTTTGATGTAAATTGATAATTATGTTGATAATTCTAAGTTAGTTTGTTGTAATTTGATAATACTTTAGTATAAAAGCCCTAAATTGATGTTAGTTTAGTAAGAAAGTTTATGATGAAATTGTGGAAATGTTTGGTAAAAATGTTGAAAATGTTGATGAAATTGTTGATATTGTTGATGAAATTGTTGTTTTAATTTGATAAAATAGCCTACATTGTCGTTTAATTACGAAAATTATGTTATGTAGAATACGTTGGTTGTTAGTGTGAATATGTTCGTTGTGTACTTTGTTTTGGTTGTTATGTGAATTGGAACAATGATGGTTAATTATGTTTGTAGTGTGAATTTCTTGGTTGTTATTGTGCGAATTGGTGGAGATTGCATGCAATTAAGATGTGTTTTTGGTTGTTGTATAGAATATGGCTGCACAAAACGCAGCTTTGTTATGCCGATGGGGGGGGGGTGAATTTGTGTCTGATGGACCGAATGTCCAGTATAGTGGTGGAAATATGGAACCATTGCCACTTGGACCAGACATGACTTTCAACGATCTGATGAACAAGGTTCATAGCATTATTGGCTTAAACCGACCGAATGATTGTAACAGTTGGATTTTTAGATTGAAGTATGAGATTTGAAATTCTGTATTTTTTTATCGCTTATATGTAATTTTTACTTTTTAATTGTTGGATTATAACTGTTTATGAACAGATACCATGGACACCCGAGATAGGACACCCGGACCCACCGACCCTTCTGTCCTTACACTACAGGACACACATCGTAGCGTTGACATTTGGAGTCAGTCGGTTGATCCGGCGGGCATACTGACATGCAGGCACTACACTGTCGCGTTCCTTGGCGATTGGGTTATCGATCCCCGCATTCTGCCTTTCGTGGAGTACGCTGGCTTCATGGGTATACATCGGATGACGTTCAGAGAGGTCGACCCAGCGCTTGTTACTGCGCTTGTGGAGAGATGGAGGCAGGAGACGCACTCCTTCCATCTACCTGTTGGGGAGGCGACCGTGACGTTGCGAGACGTGGCGATACTCACACGACTTCCCATTCATGGGAGTCCGGTGTCTGGATCTGCGTTGGCCGATCCCCCCGGTTATGTAGCTCAGGTTCTCGGGGTTCAGCCAGGACCGGACGATATCAGGGGCGGCGGATTGAGGACCGGCTGGATACGCGACACTTTTCGTGTGTTGCCTGATGGTGCTGTTGAGGCCACTATTGCGAGACATGCTCGAGCGTACCTTTTTTGCTCATCTCGGGTGTGTTGTTCGGTGTCAAGAGTGGCAGCCATTTACAGATCATTTACCTGCAGCTGGTAGACCACGACTGGGAGCATATTCGTGGCTACAGCTGGGGCAGTGCTTGTCTGGCGATGTTGTATCGCCATCTGTGTAGAGCATCCTGCCGGGGTTCTCGTGAGATCAGCGGACCGTTATTTTTGCTTCAGGTAACCTACCTATCTGTTAACAATTTAATTCGGAAAGTTCTTACTTAGTTTACAATTAACCTAGTTTTGTGTGTTTGATGTCCAGTATTGGTCTTGGGAGCACATCCATGTAGGCAGGCCAGGTAGGCCTGCTATACATCGTCAGGGGCAGCAGGATCAGGACCAGCAGTATGAGCGGTACATTCCTCCACCACGGCCTTCCGCTGACGAGGCGTACGCTTGCAGATGGGCGGTCCCCAAGCTGACATATGCGCATGCGGCGAGGGGCCTGCCGTACTACCGAGACGCCCTTGATCGACTGACCGAGGATCAGGTGAAATCTTTAATTTGTTTATGAAATTGTTATTTATTATGTATACTCTTAACATATTTAATATGCACTAACCTGTTTATTATGTTACTTTTTATGTGTTATCGCAGATGACATGGGACCCGTATGAAGCTGATTTAGTTGCTGTCATGCCTCCACATCTGCTAGATCATCAGGCGCAGTGGCGTTCTAGGGTCCCCCTGATCTGTTTTGAGGTCGTCGAGGGTCACCTACCAGATCGAGTCATGCGACAGTTTGGACTACGACAGACTGTCCCCCAGCAGTGTGACACTAGTGCCCGGCTGCACCGCATTGACCGTCGGGGAAAGAGCGACAGGAACTGGCGGACGGAGCATGCCCAGTACATTGACTTGTGGCATCGACGGTTGGAGTTCGTCGTCACTGGTGACCCCATCCACGGCGTTATGGATCCATACGATCCATACATGGAGTGGTACATGCGGATTACACGACGTTTCATCAACCCCAGCTACACACCGCCATCCGCACATTACCATCCATCCTTTGACGTGATCAGGGGATATGTAAGTGTATTTGATTAACTTATTTTTATCAATTTTAAATTTGTATATCATTCAACTAACTCATCCTTAATTACTGCAGGCGTTGGATATGACGGTGATGGTTGACGCACTGTCGGACGTCCTTCCAGGCATACCTGAGCCGCCCAGAGCACAGGTCGAGCGGGTGCGAGATATGGGCATGGCTACCTTGCAGAGATATGGTCACGCCTATCTCGTCCACCCCCGGGACGATCATGGCGGCCACTCTAGTCACTCACAGTTCGAGGCTGGCCAGAGTAGCTGTGGGGGTGATCCTGCGTCATTCACGGGCGCAGAGGAGTACGACATTCGCAGTTTCGTGCCCCTACGTCATCCTGATGACCCATCTTCCAGCCAGCTGACTCCGCCAGTACGCCCGAACCCATTTACCACGGTCCGTCAGTACAGCTGTCGTCAAAGGCCGAGAGTGGACATACAGGATAGAGAGCCGTTACACCAAATTGATGAGTCAGAATAGGATAGAATTATCTGATTTATTTGTTGTAATGACCTTCTCTAGTTTGTTGTACATAACACTTACATTACATTATTATTTTAATAATTATTTGAATGAAGTCTTGTTTGAATTTCAAATTCCTTATTTGTCCACGTTTGACTCATTTCGTTCAAAATAAATTGTGGATGTGGAGGTGGTGGATGTGGAGGAGGATGGGTGGTGGAGGTGGTGGATGTGGAGGAGGAGGGTGGTGGAGGTGTTGGAGGATGTGGAGGAGGAGGGTGATGGTGGTGGTGGATGTGGAGGAGGAGGGTGGTGGTGGTGGTGGTGGATGTGGAGGAGGAGGGTGGTGGTGGTGGTGGTGGATGTGGAGGAGGAGGGTGGTGGATGTGGAGGAGGAGGGTGGTGGATGTGGTGGATTTGGAGGAGGAGGGTGGTGGATGTGGAGGAGGAGGGTGGTGGTGGTGTTGGATGTGGAGGAGGAGGGTGGTGGAGGATGTGGAGGAGGAGGGTGGTGGTGTTGGTGGATGTGGAGAGGGTGATGGATGTGGAAGGGGGCTGCATTGGCTGCTGTTGGGGGCCTGCTGTTGCTGCCTTCAACCAGCAGATAAAACGCTGACTGAGGCAGCGTTTTATGCTTAGGTGTAAAACGCTGACTCAGTCAGCGTTTTTCTCTGTTATGGATACAAGAAAAACGCTGACTGAGTCAGCGTTTTACTGTATTTCCAATTTTTTTTTTAAAATTTGTATTTCACATAATACGAAATTTTATAAAAAAAAAATAATAACCAAAGGTAAAACGCTGACCGAGGCAGCGTTTTATGTCAGAAGCTCAGTTTCGTAAATAGTTTGGCCACGCGTCTAGATTGGTAAATTGTTTGCCAATTAAGCTTACTTTCGTAAAAAAATCCATCAATATCTATCATATCTAAGGTCTAATAACCTCTGTCCAAAAATGAAAGATCGTATAACCTTGTTACTAATGTATAAAGGTAATGATATAATTAAGAAGTTTTTTTTATATCGAAGGTGACCACAAACAAGTTTGACCGAAACGCGCATGAATGTTAAGACAAGAGTTCTAACTTAAAAGGTTTAATTTATACACCTTTCAATGGGTTCCTTATGGCTTTTAAAAATATACTTGTATTGTCTAGTTAAAGAATAATTGATCGACCTTGATTAGAAGAATAGTTCATAAATTCTTTTAACTCTCTAATCTCTCATTAGAGTACCTTAGTTAAACACACCAAGTATATACTATTTAGTTTGGTATTAAGAGTGGCTCTGTCATCTCTTTTTACCCAAAATAGTTTTATTAATTAGTTACTATAATAAATTGATCACTTCATATTGAAGTACTTTGAAATCAAATCACTACATATGAGATGCCTGACATACCACATACATGGTTCGACCTTTGGTTTATCTATAGGGTCATATGATTAATGTTATGTTTCTCTAAATAGAAAGATGCCAATTGTTTAAATAAATCAGATTAATATATAATTAATTAGAAACACTAAGAAGATCAATTTCACTTTGTATACTAACCAAAAGATTGGAGCTCATGAAATATATCCAATTTGTTATATAGCTACCTGGCCTAATAATCCCTCCAGCCCAGTTTAGTTGTCACTTTTTGTTGAAATTCCAAAATTGTCGTCAAGGTTTATCTAAGAATAAACCAAACAGAGGAGTATTTTGTGCAAAAGCTAAAAATTGTGATCGATATAATTGTAAATTTGAATGTAATTAATTATCGTACATATATAGGGTATATTGGTACCAATATTCAACCGAATGAGACCAGTGTATTTAATTATTAAATTTAATTAGAAAGTAACATGTTATTTTGAATACCTAACACAGGGTAGGTCGGGAAACACTTTTCTTTGTTAAACATGTAGTTTTCAATATATTATCCAATTCAAGCTAGCCATACATGCTAACAAATCATGTACTCCTGCCTTCGGGAAATTCAAAGTCATGCAATGTTTTCTAATTTAGAGTGACAGAAAAACACTATTCACATTTCTCTTCTAACTATAAAATGATTCATGTCATATTAACGTTTATGAACAATTGGAAAATTGTCCATAAATATGATTTGAGGGAAGTATACATATTATTTATGTCATTCAATTAAATTTGCTATGAGAAAGAAGACCAACAAACAAAGGTTTCATTTACCTTGTTACAGTTAAATGTTTTACAAATCAAATCTAATACAAAAAGGGTGTGTAAAAATTTAAAACAATACATGTATTGTCACATCAAACAAATACGTTGTATAATATGTATAATACTGTTAGGGAAAGCTGAAGTTCAAGCACTTTCTTAAAAGAACTTGCATTAAGCACAATCAAAAGTTTACTAAGAAAGAAAGAGACTGCTGACTGCTTGCTCAAAAATGGTAAGCATAGGATCGGAAATAGTATGTGAGCCATTACTATTATTTCAAAGTATTATTTTTTGGCCTACTTTGTATTTTTGTGCTCTTTTTAATTTGTAGGAACTTGCATTGAAAGTTCAAATCAATGCAATCTAATTTGTTAAAACTTAAAAGTAGAGATCCCAAGTGAAAAGTGGACTAGGATTCTCTATATTGGGGTGCTTACACGTGTCCCAATAACTAAATAATGTTTAATGGACCCCATTTTGGAGTTGGAAATACAATAAAAGGTTATTTAAGAGATGCTATCAGTTGCTTTACATTAGTATCTATCAAACCCTTAACACAGTACATCATGCATTATTTATAGGAGACAAAGCAAGGCTCTGTGTATCACTCAGTCAACACCTATCATGGACATATATTTTATATAATTCCCCAAGATTTTAGGCATCTTGCCTTCTAAACAATACTATACTTCAACTTTCCTATTAACCTTGTATCGTACACACACATAGATATATAAGTGTTTCGGGTGAAAACAATGGGACCTTGCCGAAGGTCCGCTGAAATGGAGAAGACTGGATACGATCCAAGTTATGTTGGGCCGAGGATTTCCTGCACAGTAAACACACGTAAACTAGCCTCGGGGGTGTTGCCGAGGAAGGCCCCTCCGATGCTAAAGTCAGTACAATGTGTAAGAAGAAGACACTATGCAAGTGAGTTTGTTGCTTGAGGCTTTTGTGGAATATCTCAGAATGTATGAACCTCTGAATCTATGAATGAATCAGAATATGAATCTCTCCCCTTGAATGAATCAATATGATGGCTTTTATACCTCATCATACATGGAGAGGTTGGGCCTAAGCCCAATTGGCTTGCTTTGTGGGCTGACCTTTGACTTTAGCACAATTGGAGAGTTGAACCTTGACCTTGGGCTTTTAATTGGATCATTTAGTGCTTAGGCCCAATTGGACTAAATTGGACCCAAACAACTTGCCCCCCAGACCCGATTCGGAAGGATGACGGGTCGGGTTTGATTTAATTCAGAAAAGGAGGGAAGTAAATGATTTAATTAATCCAAAAATTTGAATTTAAACCGTAATTAATGAGATAACAACGATTAATGATTGTGGAAGTTGGACGGATAATGGGCAGTTTAATCACAAGATCATGTGTTTAACGGTTACTTAGTGGAGTATTTAAGAGAAATTAAAACGCAGACTCCTCGTATCCCGTACCTGGAGATATAAACAGAGGCGCGTCATCTCTCCTCACTTCTTCACCAACACAAACCCAGAATTCTCGAGAGAGAAACCAAGAACCCGCATCAAAACTTCGCAAATTCCCCGAGCATTAAGCTTAGAAACTGAGACTTGCCACTACGAACTCGTAAATCGGCAACTTTCGCTTCAGATTAAGGTAAATTCCTTTGATTTCAGTTTATTTTTCTTCGAATTCGAACTCCTTCCCCTTTTCTTTCGACTTTTTTCTTCGAAATAATCAATGGCAAGAGGAGTTAGAGGTAGAGCCCGTGCTCCAAGAAGAGCAAGGCCGATTCCCGATCCTAGGAACAGGATTGGGACCTGGAATGGTCAAAGGCCGGAGTCGGACCCTGCTGAAGGGATTAGGGCGACTCCCCTTTCCTCGGCTCCTCCTCAGAGAACGGAGGAGCCGAGCGCTTCTAGACGGGATGATGAAGTTCCCGCTGTCCTTTGGGATATCCTCCCCGGATTTTCAGAATGGGAGAATGCCGAAGTTGCTTCGGCCATGATAAAGAACCGCCCCTACCCATGGTGGGTGGAGAATGCCGATCAATATCGATTTGCCGAGCAAATTGAGTTGCATTACGGCATTTTTGAAGCTGATGGATATTGGTGCCGAATGCCCTCGGCCTCTGATAGAATCCATCGTCCACCCCCGGGGTATGTGGGGGTGTACACAAGACAGCTTCAGTATGGGCTGAGGTTCCCTTTGGACGTATTCGTCCGAGACTTGCTGATCCATTACAACATCTCTCTATGTCAGTTAACTCCCACTAGCATCCGAAGGGTGATGACATACTTATGGGTCTGCAAGTTCTTCAAGTACGTGCCGAACCTGCACTGCTTCAAAAAGCTCCATCGGCTAGTGCCAAATATTCAAAGTGGGCACGGAAGCCATGGTTCTGGGTGGTACCGGATTGAGTCCCGGCCCCAATACCTAACCATGTGGCCAAACGACTCTTCAGACAATGGATTTGGGTTAGGGCACCCACAGATCCGGGCCACCCTTGTGTCTTCAGCGCTCCCCGGTACCTCGCTGAGCCTGATCCCGAAATGGGAAGTCTAGGTCCCCCCGCAGATAACGGGGCGGATCCGAACCTGGATCAGCAATATATCTTCGGCAAGCTGCCGAACCGGGGGGGCAGTGGCCGAATGCAGCATATCCCGGAGACTTGGCTCCCCGATACGCATTACGTTTTCCAAGAGAACATGCTAGCAGCTGTTGGCCTCAGCCGAAAGTTTAAGGATGGTAAGCTTCTTCGGCTGGGGCCGAGGCTTTATAACTATCTCTTTTTCTTCTCTCGCTTCGCTTTTTTATGCTGTGCCAACCTATCTGAGCTAACCTTTCCCCTTTCCTTTTT